TTATTTATTTCTTTTTTTTAAATCAATTAAATAAATGTGCTTATGTTCTTTTTTTTTTTTCTTACACATAAATTACATCGAGGACGTTGGACTTTTTTTTTTTTTTTTTTTTTTTATAGACACAGCAATGAAAATATTCGCTTATCTCATACATTTATACTTATATCGTATAAATTATTCTATAATTATTTATTGATTTATTTATATATAAATGTATGTATATATAAATAAATTTAAATTTAGATACGTTTAAATTTCGCACAACACATATTTCGATTAATTCTAATTTTAAGCATCCTCGTCCATGATTATCTTCATTCTCGTAATCTCGTTGTCAAAGATGATCGATCATCTGCTGACCTAAAAAAAGCAAACAAATCCGATCAGAATCTCGAGTAATATTTATTTATAATTAACGTTTCAATCTAAATGATTAAATTGATTTTTACGATTCGATGAGTATGATAATGTTGATGATGACGATGATAGCGATGATTATGATGATTATGATGATGATGATGATGATTGACTTGAGTTAATAATTTATTTAAAACAAAAAAACAAAAGAAAAGACTATCGAAACATTGACAAATCATTAAAATTACAATAATTGTTATAATAGTTTTCGGGATAATAAAAAGGAGAGAGAAAGAGAGAAAAAAGGGAAATAGAGAGAGAGAGAGAGAGAGAGAGAGAGAGAGAGAGAGAGAGACAGACAGACAGACAGACAGACAGACGGGAAAAAAGAAAAAGAGAAAGAGAGAAAGAGAGAAAGGAAATGAAAATCCTTTGGTTTTTCTCTTCTTTCAAATGATTTTATATTTTTTCTTCTTCTTCTTCTTCTTCTTTATTATTTTATTATTTATAATTAATTATTTACTCGTATTTATTTTGTTATGTGTAATTAGGGGGTGTATTGGATTTTTATTTTTTTATTATTCACTTTTATACGTTTGTTTTTTCAATTTTTTTTTTTTTTTGGCTTTTGGTTTATTTTCCTTTTCATTTTTTCTTTCTTATCATTTATTTCTTTCATAAAAATATTATACGTGATTCAGGTCCCTTTATCTTCTAATGAAAATGGTTTACATGTATAATATGATATAAATTTGTATAGAAAAAGAAAAAAAATGGATAATAAACAATTAAACAATTATAAAAAAAAAAAAATAATGGTAGAGATGTTACGCAAGTTTATCTGAACTCAATTCATAACGCACAACAAACACTCACACAACACACGCACATCATATGCATTCATAAATTTGTATAAATAATAATAATAATAATAATAATAATAATAATAATTCTACTTTGTAACTTGCGATACGAGTTGAGTTCAACGAAAAATACGTCGTCGTTGTCGTAGGAAAATTTTTATTTGCAAAATCAAATAAAATAAGAAAAATAAATAAAATGTAATTATGCGAAACAAAAAAAAAGAACAACAAAAAAAAAAGAATTCATATTATTGAATTATTAGCAAAACTATCGAGACAAAAATATATATATATATATAAAATATGATTATAAAATGAATAATCAAAAAAGAAAAACAACAAAAAATATATTACAAAAAGTAATAATGCAAGTGATTTATGCAAAACAAAGAAACAAACAAACAAAAATGTCAGATCATTATTATAATTGAAGAGAATTAATAATTATCCCTCGCGAGGACAGAGATAAAAAGAAACGTATTACAAAATTCATATGCAATTTTTCACCCTACTCTGAAGTTCTCCTAATGACTCCCCCTCCTCCTACTCCTCCTCCTCCTCCTTCTCCTTTTTCCAAGAAGAAAAAAAATAATCAATAATCATCACATTGATATCAATTCAAATCGATAACGTAAACGTTTTGTCCACGATGACACTGTCGAATATGTCGATAAACATGTCCACGTTGTTTCATTCTTGCTGCACAATAAGGACACTGAATTTTGGGTTCCTGTCCACATTCAAATTTGGTATGTCTTTTAAGGTGCCAAGCGTGTATGTAGCTTTTAGAACACCTTGAACAGGTGTGCCTGTTGATGTCCCGCAACGATGAACTTCTTCTTCTGCTAGTAACCAATGGTTTTTCTTCCTCGCAATCGAAATCCTTAGAATCCTCCATGACCACTGCACACAGGTTATTGAAATCTTCCTCGATTTTGATGATCCTTTTCGTATCTAAAAAAAAAGATCAAACAAGAGGGCCTAAGGTTAGTTTGCAATCATCTTTTTTTTCTTTCTTTCTTTTTTTTTCTTTTTTTTTCTTTTTTTTTTTTTCTTTTTCTAATCAAAACCAATTAATTTTATTTTTCTTAAAACATTAACTAATTACTTTTCGTAGGGTTTTTTTTTCTTGTTTTTTATCATTTTTTATTTTCTTTCTTTCTTTCTTCTTTTTCGTCGATTTGTTACTTTCGTAATTATAAACGGGGAAGGGGGATGATGTTGAAAATTATTATTATAAGAAACCAAACATGTTTTTTTTTCTTTTTCTTTTTGGTAAAGTACGAGAAATGAATTAGAGTAGGCGTTTGTGTGGGTTTTATTTTTTTCTTATCTTCTTTTTTTCTTTTAACGATCGAATTTTATTGTCTTCTTTTATTTTATTTTATTTTTTGTTTTTGTTTTACGCAAAGTTAAAAATAAAAATAATGAAAATATTAAACGATCGGATATCTAAAGTTTTGGATGATTCAGATGTAAAAAAGAAAAATACAATTATTACAAAAAAAAAAAAAAAATTAAAATAAAGAAGAAAAAAATATTAATGAATAATAGAATCAGGATATTAAATAAAAAGGGTGTTATGGCAAAATTATAAAAAGGAGGATAGAAAAATAGATGTGTTGTACAATATTTATCAAATTATTTTCTATTATAATAATAGGATGATACGATTTAGAACGATTTTATTATTTCGATCGAAAAAACGTACAATCGAAAAATTTCTTTGACAAATATAATAGAATCGGATAGAATTAGATTAGATTATTTCCTATAGATAAAATACATTGAAACAAAACGAGATAGAATAATATAATAAATTGAGCACAGAGATTGATTGGTTGTTTGTTTGTTTGTTAAATGGTGTTTTTTTCGTTTGAATACTCCTTTTTTTCTTCTCCTTAGAATTTATTTACTCGAATATCAATAAAAAAAAAAAAAAAAAAAAAAGAAAATCACGATCAAGCGAAGGAACGGAACGCACATTTACTTTTTTTCATTTTTTCAAAACAAAACCTCCCCCTTCTCTTCTTCCAATCAAAAAAAAAAAACGTTAAAACAAACCAGAGCAACAACAATTTTCGAAGGAAATGCGAAGATGTAAGAGAGGTGGAAAAAAGGAAAGGTGTATTATGGGGATGTTTTCTTTTTCCAAAGAGACAGGGTAATAATGATGAATTGATTGGTAGGGAAGAAAATTTATTAATTATTTTATTCAGGAATCGAATCTACATCAGAGTGAGAGAGAGTATGTGTGAAAGAGAGAGAGAGAGAGAGAGAAAGAGAATGTATGTGTGTGTGTGTGTGTTGTTTGTAAAAGAGAGAGAGAGAGAGAGAGAGAGAGGAAAAAAAATTCAATAGCCGATAATATTTGAATTAATCGTAAATTGTTATTTTGTTAAATTATAGTTAATCATCCGAGTATCAAGGTGAATCATCAATGATGTATATACGTTGGCCTTTATGTTTCCTACGTATGTGATCGTTAACGTGTGCCCTTTGTTTGCATCGTCTACCGCAATAAGGGCATTTAAATCTTGGTGCCAATCCGCATTCGTAACGGAGATGACGTTTTAAACTTTTGTAAACGGTATAACCATTGCCGCATTTAGGACAAACGTGATTGTTCCTCTTGTTTTCCCGACAATACCTCGTAGATACTCGTAAAGGGTTTTGTTGATTGGTATCGATTTTTCTATTGTTATATCCTAGTTGTTGTTGTTGTTGTTGTTGTTGTTGTTGCTGTTGTAAGTTGGTCAATTGGTGGTAACTTCCATAAATCAGATGTAACGAACGGTCTTCTGAAAAATAAACAAAATAACAAAGAAATAACGGTTAGTTTAATTAATATTAATCGTCATTATTCACATTATCTATATTAATTTTTTTTATTATAATAATAATAATAATTATTATTATTATTATTATTTATTTATTTAGTTTTTGGTATTTTTCATTCGTGAGTACAYCCTCGAAGGCTTTTAATAATAATTATTATTATTGATATTTAATTTTAATACAGGATACTTTTTTGTATTGTATAACAGGGTGTATTGTAACGTAGAGGGTTTTCTTTTCATTAAAATACAAATCAAATTTATTTCTACAAAGTTGTTTTTTTTTTTTTTTTCGTAATGATGACAATTTGGTCGAACATGATAGCTTGTATAAAAAAATAAATATATATAAATAATATAATGAAAATAAAATACGAACATTTAAGTTTATCGTGCTAAGCCTTTCGAAGCTGGACACACAATTTGTATATGAGAGAAAAGGATCAAAAATGAGGTTTTTACAAGATATAAATTCATTTCTGCTAAAAAAAAAAAAAACGAGGAAAATAATTACGTGCACATGTGAATATATATTTATATATAAATTGAGAATATATAATACATATATGTATATATATATTTTTTAAGAGAACAAAATCAACGATCATGACACATTTATCAAATTTTTAAATAACAAAAAGAAATATATATGTATATATATATATATGCATGTATGTATGTATGTATGTATACACGTGAGTGTATATATGTAAACATAATAAATAAAAAAAGAAAACAATAATAATTTGTATTACCTTGATCTTGTGTGCTTCATTGCATTGGTCGAAACTTCGACGTTGAACGAGGAGGATATCACCAATTTGTTAATTAGATCCAACCCTTTAAATTATTTAAACGTAGACAATATTCACGCTTGAATTTTTTTTTTTTTTTTAATTCCAATCGAATGACATAGCAGTGTTTCAGTATAATGAAAGATATATTTTATGATGGAAGTATTATTATATGTATATTGAAATAGGAAACAAATAATCATTATTTGAAAATGTGAATATAGTATTGTGGAAAAAAGATAATAAATAAAATTACAAAAAAAAACGAAACGAACAAAAAGAGAGAGAGAGAGAGAGAGAGAGAGAAAATTTTTGTTTAAAGTGTACGAAGAAGGAGAGAAAGAACGTTTATTGCTATAATTAGCCAACATGTGAACGAGAAAGAGAATGCATTCTACTATTTACATAAATAATATGTATATGTATATCTATGTATCTATATATATATATATATTTAAAAAAAAAAATACAGACCAAAAAAAATTAAAAATAAAAATTAAATCGTCAACTCTTCTTCTATCTCTTCTTTATCATTGAAAGATGATATTGATGTCTTCTTTTCATCATCATCATCATCATCTTCTTCTTCTTCTTCTTCTTTTTCTTCTTCTTCTTCTTCTCCTTCTTCTATACTTGATCGTCATCGTTATCTTCATCTCCATCTTCATCATTATTTAAAATTCCCACGTAGATGATAACTGTTAAGACTTCAGATCAATAACGTATACCCTTTCCATTGGATGTTTCTTTCTAATGTGAGAATAAATTTGTGAAGTTTGTTTGCTTCTTAATTCGCAGTAAGGACACTTGAACCTTGGCTCATGACCGCACTCGTACCTGAAGTGCCGATTACGATTGCTCTTCAATGTAAAACCATGAAGGCACTTAGGACAGTAATAAAGTTGTTTTGGGGGTAATTGTGAATGTTGCAATTGTTGCTGTTGCTGTTGTTGTTGTTGTTGTTGTTGATGTTGTTGCTGTTGTTCTGTAATTATCGTCGTTGTTGTTACAGTTGTCATATCGTTACAACCTATACCAGTTGTTGCAATTGAACCAGCACCACCTACAACACCCGTTGGAGGACCACCACTTGGACCACCTTGACAAGTTGCAATTCCAACACCACCACCACCACCAACACCACCACCACCACCACCACCTCCCCCACTTGTCGGACTTACGAAGCTCAGGAAGGAATCCATCATGAGGAGATCTGAAAATAAAATAATACAAATTTTATTCTCGACGATGAGTATATATATACATACATATATATATATATATAGATTTATAGATATATGTATATATATATGTATGATAATAAGGAATTTTTTTGTTTTTTTTTTTGTTTTTATTTTTATACTTCACCCCTAAATTTTGTTTTCTCATTTTCTCTTTAGGTCGATACACACGGCACACGGTATTTCTTAAGTTTTTTTTGCTCTTTTTATTTTTTTCTTTTTTCCTTTTTTTTTTTTTTGAATGTTTATCTCTACCTATGTTCTTCTTCTCTTTATTGGTTTACTTTATCTTCTTCTATACCTTTCTTTTCTTTTCGTTTTTTCATGGGGTTGGGAAAAGAGGGTTTCTCAGGGTTTCTTCAGGGATCGGGATTAAATTATCTAACTCATTATAATACCTGTTTAAGACGAACAAAAAAGTATTAGTATTATAACCTAATTCTAATTCCTAATCTCCTCAAGGTATCCCTGGTTAATTAATTAATTATTAAAAATAACTGTGAGCGTGAATTGTGGAAAACTTTTCATAGACGTTGTTTCTTTTTTTCTTGCAAACAAATTTTTAGCAGATAAGTTTTATTTTGTGCTACAAGGTATAAATAGATAATCAGATAAATAGATGGATAGAAAAAGGGGAAGAGAAAGAGAGAGAGAGAGAGAGAGAGAGAGTCTAAAGAAGATTTGTTTAATAAATAAAAGGCCGACAAAACGACAAAAAGCATGTTCATCAATAAGCGTGTTTTTGACTTGCTGCTTTGTTCATTCTTTTTTCTTTCTTTTTGTTTTCTGATTGAAAAAGAAAGAAAGAAAAAAGAAAAAAGGAAAAATAGTAAAAAGAGCAAATTGCAAATAATAAGAATAATAATAATTATTATTATATGTTAGTAATAAAATTTAAATTAGAAAAAAATAAAAAAAAAATAAAAAACATGGGAAAAAACATTAATAATCAAACAAAACTGAAAATCACGCTCGTTTTTTTCGTTGTGTCTGTCTTTCGGTTAAATTATAACAACGATAGTTAATTGAAACGAAATAAAAACGAAATTAAAACGGAAAAAAACAAGAAGAAGAAGAAGAAGAAGACAATGAGGAAGAAAAATTGTATAAAAAAAAGAATATTATGTTAAAATACACAACATCATCGGTGCGTCAGTTATTTGCGAAACACATATTTAAAATTAAACGTAAAAATGTGATATATTATTAATTAACAATAAGTAGCATATATGAAACGAAAAAAAAAAAGAAAATAGGAAAAAAAGAAATAAAAAAAAAAACGAAAATATTCAAAAGGGACACACGCACACACACGAGCGCGCGTGCACACACACACACATAGACTCTCCAATCTTAAGATATCTGAACATCAATTTATTTTCATTTTACATATTTCCATATGTGTAATAATAATTAATATTATCACGTTGTTTATGGAGAAATTTACCCATGGAAAATATACCAACTCGGGAATACTACGATCAGTGACTAGGATAAAATATTTTTCATTTTATTTATTTCCTTTTGTTTTTCCTTTTCTTTTTGCTTTTTCTTTTTTCCCCATAACAACAATAATTCTCTTATGATTTTTCTTCTTTTTCTTCTTCTTCTCCTTCTTCTTCTTCCTTACCATCATTTATTTTTCTTTTTTTTTTTATAAACGAAAAAACATTAAACACACGATAATGACGAATATATGTCACTGATCATCCACCAAAAAACGTTATTTTTCATTAACTTCCTTCGTTATAATTTTGTTATTTATTAAAAAGAAAATAATAAAAAAAATAAATAAATAAAATAAAAATAAAAAAGAAAATGACTATCAAACAATAAATTTGATAATATTCTTCTTTGTATGCTTGTGAAATGTCGAAGGAAGAAATGAGATATACAGGGTGGGTCACCACAAATATGTATACGTGAATAATATCATCATTCTCTTATGATTATCATAATCATCGTAATCATCATCAAATTTGTCGCCTATCTAATTGTATATCTAAAAGAAGATACTATAATCGGTCAGTTTTTTGTTGTTCTATTTTTGTTTGATATTTTTTTTTATATTTTATATATATATATATATAACAAACAAATAGATACACACACACACATCATACCTTCTTCTTATTTTTATTATTATTATTATTACTTTATCCCTGTTGTTTTCTCTACAATTAATTAATGTTATTAATTTTAATTTTTTTTTCTTTTTTTTTAATATATTCAATAATTACGTATATCACAGCAAAGGAAATAAAACAGCCAAGAAGTTTGCTAAAAATTACAAATTTTTTTTTCTTCCTTCAGTTTTTTTTTTCTTTTTTTTTTTCAACGAATTTACAGTTACGCAACACACACACACACACGCGCGCTAGAATAATGACTTATATGCATACATACGTACATACATACAAATTTTCTTCATTGCACTTTGCATATCTGTTTTTTTGTTGTCTACTTTTCTTTTGCTTTATTTAATTTAATTTGTTTGTTTGTTTTTTTTTGTTTGTATCACAGTAAAGGAAAAAACCTGCCGAGAAAAATTGCCCAAAATTAATTGCAATTTGTTTATCGTTTTCTTTTTTATTTTGGGATTTTTTTTTTTTCTTATTTGCAACGATCTCACACATACGTGCACTCACGCATACACATATGACTCAACGCTTAAACGAGAGACACACACATTATACGTAATTATCATATTTATATAATTATATTTCTCGTTGTTTTTTTTTTTTCTACAATGTTGCATTTATTTCTTTTTTTTTTTTGCTTTTTTTTTAATTTCGTTTTTATATTATTTTTTTTTCTTTTTTACTTTTTACTACTTTTTTTTTTGTTTACTTCTTTCGTTTTAAATATAATTATATCACAGGAAAGAAAAGAAATCAAAAATAAGTCGAATATTTGCTATAATTGTTGTTGTTGTTTTATTTATTCGATCATTTCGCAATTAATCGACGATTATCCTGCACGAAAAAGATAGAAAAAAAGGTGTGTAAGAGAGACAATAACCACAGAAATAGAACAAGAAAATCAAATAGAGAAAAAGAGAGAGACAGAGTTAGAGTTAAAGAGAGAATGAGAGAGAGAGAGAGAGAGAGAGAGAGAGAGAGAAGACGAGAAGTAAATTAATTACTTCTTCAAGGCATCTGGAAAATATTCCTTAACATTTCATTTTTTTTATTTCATTTATATTTTTATATTCATTTTTTTTATTTTCCTATAATAACATTCGTTTATATCTTTTTTTTTCTTTTTTTTTGTTAATTAACGGATTATTTTGGCAACATTATTGTAATTATTTTAATATTCACATATAATATTAATATTTCATTATTAATTTACATATAATTTTGCCTAATTAATTGTTTTTTCTTTTTTTTTTGTGCCGTAAATAATATTCCAAATAATTTAATGACCAAATAAAAAGTCAATCGTATTCATTGCTATTCGTTAAAATGAAACAAATTCGTCATCCTGAATTTAAATTTTTAATTTAATTCTAAATTTTTAGAATTTTAAATTAAATTAGTCATTAGTTGATTTAGATTTATAAGATAGAACAAATTACTGGACGCATATATGTGCCCATAAAATCTACAATCACCTTTATCAGACGCACAAATTATTTTTCGAATAAAATTGAAATTTTAGCTGGACGCACATATGTGCCCAAAGTAATCAAAAGGTTTCATTTATCTAACACATCCCTGTACTTTTTTTTTCACACAATTTACCACGAGAAGGCACGAGCTAAGCTTTTATTTTAAAATACCCGCATTTAGCCGATTATCAGATTGACATCGGTCATAATCTTTGAATAAGAAAAAAGAAAAAAAAGAAGAAGAAATTTACAATGTCAACAACAACAACAACAACAACAACAATCACAACCACAACAACAACGATAACGATGATAACGATTAAAAAGAATAATAATTAGTTTTTGTTAAATAATTCAATATAATTACAATTAAAATTTAAATATCCGAAATATAGAAGGATGAATGAATTTTCATTTGTTTAATTGGCCAATAACATTTCGTTTCATTTTTATCCTCGTCTTCTTCATTTTGTATATGTCATAAAATTAAAAAGAAAAAAACAACTGAGACAGAGTAAGAGAGAGAGAGAGAGAGAGAGAGAGAGAGAGAGAGAGAGAGAGAGAGAAAGAGAGAAGAGAGAGTGAGAGAGCAAGTGAAAGAAAATGAAATATCCTATTACCCGATAATAATTGTTAATACATCCTAAAAATGTATTTAAAATAAACGTGCGTGTCCTAGATTGTTAACGCAAATTAATATTACAATAAAATTAAATTACAGTGTGATGTCATCGTAATCAAAATCAGCCCTTAACAAAAAAGAAAAAACAAAAATTGAAACATATAACGAAAACGCAATAGAAACCTGAATTGTGACCTTTAGAAATTTGTATAATTATATCGTTTAATTATAATTTTCATTTTTTTTGATTCCAACAGCGATAGATAAACAATAAACGCACACAGCATTAAAAAAAAAAAAATACATACACATGTACACACCCATACATAAATTCGCGAATATTATTTTTTTTTTATTTTCTTTCGTATTTGAAGAACAAAAAAGAAATTAAAGAAAAAAAAAAAAAGAACAACCTATCGCTTAACATATACATAATATTACATATAATTTACGTTTATAGATTATCAATTTAATTCTCGTATTGAAGATCCAATACGTATGCGGTTTTATCTGCATGTTTTGTCCTGATATGGGACTTAACGTTAGATGTTTGTTTGCTACGAAATTCACAATATGGACACTGGAAACGTGGTGCCTGGCCGCATTCGTATTTCAAATGTCTCGTCATGTTACCCTTTACGGTGAAACATCTACCACATTTTGGACAACCAAATGGTTTCTTAAAATAATTAATAGTGTAGCTACCAACACCACCACCACCACCACCTCTCTTCATATAACTATTATCGTTCCTAATTCCACTTTCGGGATAATAATTGGTGTAAGTTGATCTTGGTGGGGGTGTTCTCGATAAATTACTTTGATCCTGTTGTAGATGATGCATTGATTGTAGTTGTTGTTGTTGTTGTTCTCTGTTGCTTCTGCTATTGCTGTTGTTACTATTGTTGCTGTTGCTGTTATTATTGCTGTTATTGTTATTGTTGTTGTTGCTGTTGTTGTTTTGATTACTGTGGTTGCTATTTCCTTCACCAGCACCCTCCTCTACCCCTTCTCTTTCTTCACCTCCTCCTCCTCCTCTTCTTCTTTTATTTCTACCAATATTACCATCATCACCACCATCGTCAACACCATCACCACCACCACCAAGATCACCACCACCGCTACCACCACCACCACCACCACCACCACCACCAACACCATTACTGCCTCTGCTCTCTGTATCGAAAGTTTTGCACGATTGCAAGACGAAGTTTAAGTCGAGTTGTGGGGCTGCATAGCTGAAACCTGAAACTTTCGAGGGTAGTCACCAATTAGATAGACAAAAGTTTTTATTCTATTTTTTTTGTTTTTTTTTTGTTTTTTTTTTATTTTTTTTTTTTTTATTTCTTAAGTTTATGGTATTTGAGTTAGTTTTTTTTTCTTTTTTGGGGAGTGGGGGTTGTCTAACAATCGGTCAAACAATCTATTTGTCTTTTATTTGAATGATAATTGCAAATAGGAAAGTGGATGAATTGGATAAATGGATAGGATTTTTAATTAAAAGAGAAGACAATAAAAAATTAAAAAAAAATACAAAAAAATTATTTGTTCTCTCATCAAATTTAGTTGCACACTTCAGTAGATTGAATTTTGTTCTTTAGGGGTGTTAAGGGTGTTTCATGTCGTAAGATAATCGTTTCAAAAAAAAAAAAACTATTTTTTTTTTTTTTTTTTAAGCATGGCTAGTGAAAAAAGCTTCTCATCTGAGTGTACGAGTAGTAAAAAAAAAAAAAAGTATATATATGTATGTGTATATATATATATAATAATTAACATAAGATTTAATATACCTTTACGTGAATTGCGAGGAATCTTCCGAACGAAGTTTTTGAGTCAAGTGTTTTTTACGTATTATTTATCAACTTCAAAAGATCAAAGGCAATAAAAGAACTTTTTGTTTTATATTTTTTATTGGGTAAATTCGTAAAAAAAAGTAAAAGAAAATTAAGGCTACGAATATTGGAAAATATATAGAATGAAAAAGTGAGAGTGAGAGAGAGATAGATAGATAGATAACAAAAATATAAGAAGATAAAGACAAATATAACCAGGATTTGAAGAATATAATAAAATAGAATTAAGTAGAAATTCATAAACTATTGTATACATCTTATTATAAACATCTAAATATGCATTTTAAATAAATATATATATATATTTATTTGTGTGTATATATATTTATTATCGTGCTTTAACGAAGTCTACTATAGTAGATAACGAATTAAAAAAATTCTTGGTTGCAGTCTTCGAGTGATGAGATATCCATCGGTTAATTTTTTTTACTATTTTACGTGCGACGCTTAAATCGTGCATGGAGGAAGGATTTTGAGGTATCAGCAAAGTTCAACAATAATAATAATAATAATAATACATACATACATACTAATATATTTTTATATCCTTATTAAAGAATGACTTCACATTATAAAAAAAGTTCAAAACGGAAAAGCAAAAGAAAAAAAAATAAATTTGATAATATTATTCTGTATCAATTAGAATTTATAATATTAATGTGTGGAAGTAGCATGAGTTTAAATAAAAAAAAAATAAAATAAAATAAACATCTTTTTTTAAGAATAAAGTATACGACGGGTAAAATGTAGTTGTGTGTGTATTGTAATTAGTTATATATTTAAGAAATTATTTAACGTTACGTATATATATATATATATATATGGTGGTATATATGTATACGTGGTATTTCGTAATATATGCAAAGAAGGTGGGAGGTTGGGCTTTATATAAAAACATAATCTACATTTTTTCAACATTTTTCTCACTTACTTCTTCCACTGCCATAAATTACTGATACACACACATATTATATATATATATATATGATATATATATATATATATATATATATATATATATATATATATATAATAAAATAAATGAACAAACGACTGATCAATAATAAACAAAATATAGTTGTTATTCCAATACAAATATTATTTTGTTCTAAATAAATTCATCTTGCGTGTTTCTTCGTAGCGATTTTCTTCATCATTTTCCAAAAGGTAGAGAATAAAAATAACGACAAAATCTATAATTAATAATAGAAGAAATATCCGATAATTATATCGAATATTATCATGTCATTAATATGTCAATCAATCAGTCAGTAATAAATCTTTCTAATCAGAAAAAAAAAAAGTAGAAAAATCTTCGAGATAAACGACGAGGCTGACGATGACGATGAAGATGATGATGACGATGATACGTAATTCAAAGCTTCATGTCGAAGATAAAAACTTCCTCTTCAGGATGTTTCTTCCTGATGTGTGCATAAACCGGTGACGTTTGTTTGCTACGTAAACCACAATATGGACACTGAAATCTTGGCTCGTGACCACACTCGTAATTAACATGACGATCCATGTTTCTCTTCAATGTGAAACCGCGTCCGCACTTGTGACAACGAAATGGTTTCTTATCATCGTTCTTGATATGCCTAGAACTTAACCTTATCGACGAATAGGTTCTATTATCGTTGTTATTACATGGCCACGTATCTTCATTAATTGCTGGACGATATTTACAGATGACGTTTGTCGATAGAGTTGTTGGCGTTGCCGTTGTCATACCTGCCGTTTGTAATACCTGGTTGTATCCTGTAACACGCATAGACAATTAATGCTTAAAGTTTTTGTTCACCTGCTTTATTAATCCCGATTATTATTTTTTTCATTTATTTTTTTATTCTTTTTTATTTATTATTATCGTTATTAATTTTGTTTTTGTTTAATTTCTTTCAAGTATTAATTATATCTTTTTTTTTTTTTTTTATTTACATTTCATTATCGTATCAATTTTTGAAGGATTTTGACATCCCGTCCCGCCCAAATTTCTTAATTCGTATTAGGAAATTAATTTATTTTTAATGGATAATAATAATAATAATAATAATAACGTTCGAGATATAAATAATTCTTTTTTTTTCTTTTTTTCTTTTTGGTCATTTATCGGTCAAATTGTATTTTATTTAATTCATTTATTTATTTTTTTATTTTTTTTTTTTTATCAAATTCACGAATAATAAATAGATAAATATTTGTATGGCGATTAGATGAACAATTGGATTTCTCATTGAATCATCTGAAATAATACAGAAATGTAATATTAATTAAACGTATGAAATAATATTTCATCGAGATTTTCTGGACCTCCCTTCTCACTCTCTTTCATTTTTCTTTCCTCCGGTATTGGATTAACCTGAAATCAAAAGAAAATTTTATTTATTATTATTTTGTTATATATTATATTAGTTCTAAGGATGATCCAGGATTCGTACCTAAGATTATTTTGTTTTAATTTATATAAACACACACACACAGACACACATCTAAACACGCTCAAATATATGGTCACCCAAATCTCACTGTTTTTTTTTTTTTTTTTTTTAACAATGTATAAATAAAATTCAATTGGCATATTATAAAAATAGTGACTGATCAAAATTATTCTCACAACATAATCCAACAATAATTTATCTTTATTTTACAATATTAACAATATTAATTTTATTCAAATAACATTTTATTAAATGTTGTTCTCTCTTTATTTTTTTGTTTCTTCTCCGTTTTTTTTTTTTTTTTTTTTTTTTAACGAATCATATTTATTTCATTGCAATTATTACAAATTTAACACTATCTGTAGACTCGGATATTTTTATATTATTTATTTAATTATAATATAAAAAAGTAAATTTATCATCATTTTCCCTATTCTATAAATATCCCCTTGTAACTATCACATACAACAACGGTATATAATAATAAACCCTAATCATTTTAATTTCCGACTTGCATAACCCACATAACACGATTAGTTTTGAAATTTTTCAGCGAAAGTTTCGTAAAATATTTCCAAAAAATCTTTCATAAACCTTGCAGGCATCATTCTAAAATATTTTACTGATAGAGTAATCTTTTGCAAGTCTCTTAACGCGGACATTTTCACCTTGTAGAAAGATTTTTTAGAAATCTTTTTGAAAGGTTTAAAGCTTTTCAAGAAATGTTTTAGAAAGTTTTTAGAAAGTTTCTATATTATGTGGGAAGTTATCGAAGAGTATATTAATTTTATTTGGAACACATATTGAACGCCCAAATGTTTAATCCAATTTTATTGCATATCTTTTTTTTTTTTGTTCTCTCGAATAATTAACAAACCAAAAAAAAAAAAAAAGAAAAAATAAATACCTACTATTTTATTCGTTCCTATATTCTCGTTTAGGTAATCTTGTATTAGTATCAATATCGATACAATAAAGTTCTTGATTAGGGTGTAATGTACGTATATGGGTCCAAACGTGGGTCCTTTGTCGCAAATGTTGTTTGCAATAAGGACATTTGAATCTTTGAGATATTCCACACTCGTATCTAAGGTGTCGTATCATATGGCTACGGTGTTTGTAACTTCTATAACATTTTGGACAAGGATGACGAGCCATGATATTATTCTGGTTAACATTAACAATCGACGATCTCATATCCAACGATGTTGAACCTGTTGTTGTTCTTGTTATTGTTGTTATTGCTGTTGCTAATGGTGCTGTTGTCATCGTTGTTGCTGTTAATGTTGCTGTTAACGTTGACGTTAATATTGGCGTTAATGTTGTTGTTACCATTGTTCCCCTCCATTGTTTCCACATGTAATCTGAAAAAAATCCAATTTTCATAGAATTAGTTTATTTTTGATTCTTTTGTTTTCTTTAATTTACGAACGACCGCCGACCGGACCATTATAATAACCATAACTGATGCCTTTTCTTTCTCTTTGGTATTTTTCCTTTTTTTTTTTCTTATAAAAAAATCCCAAACCAGTTGCTGAAGACCTCGTCGAAAAATTTCAATTTGATCAATATTCACAGAAACATAATCTTCTTTTACAAATTCCCACCAATGATAATTCGTATAATCCTTTGAAAAATATTAGATAAAATTAGGGTTTTAGTGGTAAAGGTTATAATTATTGAAAGATGGGTTGGGGTAACGAGGAGGGGATGGGTAGAACTAGTTATTACTTTAATTCGACTTTATTAATATACTCCATTTTGATTGGATATATGTTGGATTAAAGTATCACTCGAATTGTTCAATTTTCTTTTTTCTTTTTTTTTTTTTTTTTTTTTTTTTNAACGAATTAATTAGGTCTATAGGATCGTCAATATTAACAAGAAATAAAAATTAAAAATTATGAACAAATATATATCACTCACTCTCTCTCTCTCTCTCTCTTTCACTCATTCCATCTACTTAACAAATGAAAAGTTTTACGACGCTATTACAATTCCAACAAAACAATTGTACAATTTTTCTTCTAACAAATCGATCATTAACAATAATGTATTTCTATTACATATTAAATTTATACGACTGGAATAAAATTAAATAAACAAAACAAAACAAAAAAAAACAAATAAAACAAAAAGTGGAATATACATACAGATATATATATATATTTTTTTAATCTTCCTGCGTGTCAACCGCGTAAACGGGACGATTATAATGATTGCTCTTGATGTGAGAATAAACATGTGATCTATGTTTCCCTATGTAGACACAATGTGGACACTTGAAACGTGGTGCCTTGCCGCATTCGTAGGTCAAATGCCTGTGAAGACCGCGATACCATTTGTAGATCTTTCGACAATTTGGACATTCGAAGTTCCCTCTCATCGAGGTGTTTGGAATTAGGCATTTTCTTCTCTCAGGTAGAATTGGTCCCCAATATGCTGACAATGATGACACTTGAAATAATGCTGAAAAGTAACGGTTTTCACGTGAGAGGAATTAGGTCATTTAAAGGGGTTGTGATCGTTTTTTTTTTGGTTTTTTTTTTTATAATATCCTTTTTGCTTTTTGGTTTTTTGTCTAGTTTTGGTTTTCGTTATCGACACAAAACAAACATAATGACGAGAAGATGGTTTAATGAGAAAATCTGACATATTCAACGTTTCTTTTTTTTTTTATGACGAATTACGACAATGATTGTGACGAAATAATGAGAGGTTCGTTATACGAATAAATGCATTTTAGTTTTTTGTTTAAACTAATATTAAAAAAAAAACACTTTCATATGTTTTTCTTATCATATATACATACATATATATATTATGTACATATATTATGTATATATATAAATATTAATTATGTTTTATGTGGTTAGTTTTTTCTTTTTATTATAGGACAAGTGTAATTAATTTATTTTTCATTTTTCTTTCGTTTGACACAAATTTCATCCCAAATAAAAATCGTATAGCCCTGCTTGCTTCTTCATTTCTTTTTCTTTTTTTTTTTTTTTTTCTTAAGAAATTATTATAATATACAAATGGTAATAATACCAATCGTCGAAATTGCCTATAAAATAACAACGAAGAAAAATAAACAAAAAAAAACAATATTTCTTTTATTCTTTGGGTATAATTATTCGGTGAGAGAGTTGTTTTCCAATTCGTTGGACAAATTAAAAAAAAAAAAAATAGCAACACAAATCGAACAATAATAAACGATATTTAAAATTATTATCGATCGTTGGAATAATTCGTGGATATGCAACATCTGTTGTGTATGTGCATCATGTTTCCTTCTTCATCTTCTTCTTCTTCTTCTTCTTTTTCTTCTTCTATATAATATTTAATAAATTTTTTTAAAATACAACGTTTGACCAGGATGATATCTTCTTATATGTGCATAAATATTTTGGGTAAATTTCGATGGTTTGTCGCAATATGGGCATTGATATTTCGGCTCCATGCCACATTCGTGATGCAAATGGCGTCTCATGTTCTTCTTCTGCGTAAATCCCCGATTACATCTTGGACAATAGTGACTCTTTTGCAGGGAATAGACCTTCCTCGGTGTTATCCTTCCTATCCTCATCCGTAGACCTGAAAATTTCATTAATATTATTAGTAACGTGGGAAAGTTTGAATTTTTTTTCTTCTTGTTTTATTTTTTTAATTTTTTTATGGATCGATATCTGAACGAAATAAAAAAAAAAAATAAAAATAAAAAAAAAATAAAAAATAGAACGAAGAGGAAAAATGAAAATAAAAAAAAGCAAACAAAAGAACCCTCTTCGTTTGCATTTTCCCTACCCGCCTACCCCCTCCCTCATTACCACCATCCGTTGTTTAAGAAAACGCAGATTTTGCGCTTTTCTTTTTTGTCTTTTTTTAAATATTTATTTATCGAATTACTTACATAAAAGTATTCTCGTCGCATAAATGTGTGTTGCGTTGCAATAGTCGGAATATATATATATATATATATATATGAAAAAAAAAGTAAAAATAAAATAAGTGAGTGAGTGAGTGAGAGAGAGAGAGAGAGAGAGAGAGAGAGAGAGAGAGAGAGAAAAATGTAAAAGAAAAAAATATAAAACATGGGAACGTTGTTTCTTCTTTTTTTTTCTATTTTTTTTTTCTACGAGGAGTTTTGAAATTCAAGGAATATTATTCATATTATTATATTAAGTTTTGGAAAAAGTTAATCAGATATTAAATCTATATAGACTTATTATGTAAATAATATACATGAATTTCTTACAATAATTCAATTAAATGAAATATTTATGTACGTAAATACGTGCCCACAAATTATATCAATGATTCCCAAAGTTTGCACACTTCCTCCCCTATTCCCCCTTCCTTTCAGAGGTACTTAAAAAAAATACGCGAATTTTTGGCTATAAGGAAACACGAAAAAATGATTAGAAAAGGATTAAAATGCTAATTAGAACGCAAACTTAATCCGATAATTTTAAACAAATGATCGATTATTATTATGAAAAATTACTAAAGTAAGTGTGTTAATTTTGTTAAAAAGTACCATGAAGATTATTAGATTGAAGACAAACTTTGTGGGAATCATTGAATTATGTCAAATCGTTTCTCTCTTTTTTTTTTTTTTTTAGAATTATTTTATTAATTTGTCAGCATAGATGTTGAAAAGGGTTTGTTTAAA